TGTTTTAAGGTGCAAACTATTAGTCATCAAGACCTAAACATGGAGTTTAAATATTAATGTATTATCTAAAGCATCAACATCAACTTTAAGCATATTGGCTGGAGAGCTTCTTTTAGGCAAATTCTATATATGATGTTTGTAAATTTTGAAAGTTCTGCGAGAATTTGATAAGGCACTTAAGAGATTATGGGTACCAGAAAAAAAGTTCACTTAAATTCCTCTTATTTATTTATTTAAATTTTGAGGCTGGTTGAATCCATAGTGACTGTGTATGACTTACAATTTAACAATTAAAAAGAAAACAACATTGTTGTTGTTAATTGTGAAGTCGTGTCCGACCCATCACGACCCCATGGACAACGTTCCTCCAGGTCTTCCTGTCCTCTACCATCTTCTGGAGTCCATTTAAGTTCACACCTACTGCTTCAGTGACTCCATCCAGCCATCTCATTCTCTGTCGTCCCGTTCTTCTATTGCCCTCAATCTTTCCCAGCATTAGGCCCTTCTCCAGTGAGTCCTTCCTTCTCATTAGGTGGCCAAAGTATTTGAGTTTCAACTTCAGGATCTGGCCTTCTAAAGAGCAGTCGGGGTTGATCTCTTCTAGGACTGACCGGTTTGAACGCCTTGCAGTCCAAGGGACTCGCAGGAGTCTTCTCCAGCACCATAGTTCAAAGGCCTCAATTCTTTTGCGCTCAGCCTTTCTTATGGTCCAACTTTCACAGCCATACATTGCAACTGGGAAAACCATGGCCTGGACTATACGCACTTTTGTTGGCAGGGTGATGTCTCTGCTTTTTAGTATGCTGTCTAGATTTGCCATAGCAAATCTAGACATACTGTATATCAAAGAGGAAAATGCAGTTGCCTAGAAGACAGAATCAGAAGCCAAGGGGAATCAACCACCATCCAAACCCAAGGCCTGGGAAAACAACCAGGTCTTTAACAATTTGCACAAAGTTAAAAGGATGGAAGGGTGGAGTGGGGGGGGGGGAAGGGATGTATTGTAGAATGTAATGCAATATAAATAAAATTGCATGTTTTTTCTCCCCAAATTTGTCAGATCATTAAAATGAGTTTAGTCGATCTGTTTTATCTCACTGCTAAAACTTTTTTAAAAAAAGATAAACAGATTTTGTTTAAGCATGAGCTTTGCATATTTTCAAGTTAATATGTGAACTTCATTATTTTGAATTTGTTCTGTTTGGAACATTAAATATGAAGGCAGTGGGCAGCAGATTTAAAAAGGTGAAGGAAATTTCCAATTTCTGTTTTAGAGATACTTCTAGAAACTAAATTGTCATGTAGAATTGATGAAATGGATGGTCAAGAAGCCAGCTGTTTACGTAATGAATATTCACCTAAGTCTATCAGTTGCTGAAAGAATAATTTGATATTGTTCCAGGACCAGCTATCAAATTCACTGGGGAAAGATATCATGATCTTAACTCCAGCACTTGTCTCCTTATCTCTATAGCATATAGAACTATCTCTCCCCACTATCATGGGAGGGAAACAAAATCATGGAACAAATGAATAAGGATATATTGGGTGTGCATGCTTGATCTGGATGAATTTTTCTCTTCTTACTGAAACTAGATGAATGAATAATTATTCTGGATGGAAAAAAGCCATAGAGTTGGATATAATTGTTATTCCTTACAAAATGAAGTGCCAATAGTGAATGTCAAAAATATACCGTATTTAGTTGGCAGAGTTGTGGTTTAAAGTTTACAGAAGTGAAAATGAATAAAATTTGGGAAGTCCAGTGCATCTCTATGCCTAGAAGGAGTTGTAAAGATCAGATTTTTGCTTTTCTTCAGTTTACTGGGAAGTATATGAAGGTAAGAAAGTTTACTATGGAAAAGTTTACACAGAGTTGAATATTGGCTACTGCATGGTAAGGGTGATATACAAAGTAAAATATGAATGAGAATAAATAGAATAAGTATCAAATAACATTGAACAGGGATTAAACAAGGAGGTATGATATTCCCTTTGTTATTTAATATATTTATGGATAAGAGTAAAATAAATGCTTGTGGTGGCATCAGAGGATATGGTTTGATGGCATGAATGTACACACATTCTGAATTTATAGAACATTTTTCGGATGAGAACTCGTGATTTTCATAAAATATACAATAGATTGAATATGGGTCTAAAAATTAATGTTTGGCAGAGAAAATAGAAGATACAATTTCAAGTTAGTCACAAATTGTGAAAAACTAGACAAATTGGGTATTTTGATACAACTTTGACTAAATGATGGAAAATGAATAGATGGATTTTAAGGCAACTAAATGCTGCTAGAAAGGGAAGGACAATCGTGGTCTGTTATGAGCATCAAGTATTTGTTGAAAGAAGTGAACATGGCTATGTAAAAGCTATGTAGTTTTGGAGAACAGAAATACATTTTCCATTGTTGTCAAATATTAATGTATTAGATTTTTAAAAAACCATTGCCCTCATATTTATTTGTTGGATGTTAGAGCACGGAACATTTTGGAAAGGGCTTCTGTAAATCAGATAACTCCATTGTGAATTAATACTTTGCTTTTTTGAGTCTATTGCTCCAGTTGTCCTGTATGATTTGGGCTTTGACAGTGGTTGGAAAAGCAGCTAACAGCCATCTGAGCTAAGCCGTAGATCAGTGATGGCGAACCTTTTAGAGACTGAGTGCCCAAACTGCAACTCAAAACCCACTTATGCATCGTCGGGTGCCGGGTGGGTGTGGCCCATTGGGTGGACATGGCTGCAGTGGTAACGGCAGACTGGGTGGGACTAAAAAGTTCAATCAATCAATTCCAATTTTTTTTTCTGCGAGAAGTTGAAATTGACTGATTGATTGAACCTCTTTTTTTTTTTTTGCACACGGCGGCGGAGGCCTAAAGCAACAAGGTTTTATAAAACCCAGCTGAAGGCCTAGGACTGGGGCGACGGCGCGTGTGCCCACAGAGAGGGCTCTGAGTGCCGCCTCTGGCACCCGTGCCATAGGTTCGCCACCACTGCCATAGATTCTCTGCTGGCCAAGGAATAAAATTAAATAATTGGTGAAACTGAAATGAAACTCGGCAAGCTCAGGAAATTTCCTCTAGTAAACTTCACATTTTAATGCAACTAAGGTATTTGACTTTTACAAAGATAAGGCAGATATATGCTTCGGGTTTTTCTTTTTAAATTTTTGATGGAATTGTTCTGTCATGTGCTTCAGCTTCCTCAGAGTTTATTTTCTGTTGCCTAGCTTGTCTGGAGCAGCTTGTTCCTGAAGCAATTAACTTGGCTAATAGGCTATCCCCATCCCTCATGAATGGACTATCATGTACCTTTTTCCAAAACATAATGCCTTGGTAGTGTTTTTTGTGGTCTTTGAAAATGAATGAGGCAAAAATGGATAGATAGAAACTGTTTTTGCTGCAGAAGGATGCAATAGACCTTAATGGTGCATAATCTTCCACAAAACAGAATTGCTACAAAAAGAAAACATTACTTATGTAGATGTTATTCCTTTCAGACTAAATGTTATTCAAAAGCTAAGAGGAGGAATAAAAAAATATAAATCAAAGACATTAAATCATGAGATAACTAGAAAAGAAAACAAGATTAAAACTGTCTCACCAACATCATTCACTGTAGTTCTTCATACTTTTCTATTCTTGTAACCATCCTTAGATCCAGTAAGTTCATAAACCAATTTATACATTGCTTTTTGTTTTTCAAATGATCACAGACCTATACAATATATCTTTCAGTACTTGGAAATAATTGTGTATTCACACAAAATAATCCAGCATTTTTCCTGGATCATACTTTTAATGTTACTCCACATTTGTGAAAATCTGTAACAATTCTTTTTTCAATGATCCAAGCATCTTTCAAGGAATCTATTTTCTAATATTTTTATATGGATTGTACTTTCTCTTCTTATTCTATTTTCATTCTAATTTGTTCATTTGTTTCCTTTTCTTTCACGTTCATTTCCCCCCAAGATTTGACATTACTAAAAATAACCTGTTCCATTATTCAGAAACTATTATAATCCACGTAGTCTTCTTACTATTTTTCATATGAATAGTCAAGTCAATCTTTCAAACTATATGCACATATTATAATAGGATTTGTTTAAAGTGGATCTGAAACAATATTTCTTCCTAAGATGATCTACCACCCACCCACCCCACAGTCTTATTTATTCTTGAGACTCAAAATAGCCCAAATGTTTTTTTATGCCTATCCTATAGTTTTCATGTATTCCATATCTATTAATGTATATGGCAGGATATTGCCATCACAGTTTTTTGCAGACATAGAAGTGACTCGAAGGACCACCAAGCTATGCAGAAGCTATGCAGTTCTGGGAAATGAATGACTTCAGTCGCTATGCCTCTCTGAAAGTCTTTTTCCAGTGGAAATTGAGGCGTGAACAACATTTTTCTTTGCACTTTGCCTTAAAATAGCAAGACTAGAGTAAATTTCTGGTGAGAATTAAAATAAATGTCTTAATGGTAAAAACTCTAATAATGCAATATGGTTCTTTAGCAAGTGCTAGGTTATTTTTTTCTTAAGTATTTAAGCACAAACTTAATTTCAGATGTGACCCATCAGCAATGCTATTGCTGCATTTTGCAGTGAATTGCAGATCCTATATTTAGCAGTAGGTTAGAATAGGTAACCTCCTAACTTACAACATTTTAGGATTCTATATAAAACGAAGTTATTCATCTACATTATTAGAAATCAGTGTCTTACATTTCATCCATTCAGAAGCTTTCCTCTCCCTGCTTTCTCTGGGGAAATGTAATAATATACAAATTGCTTCAGTGATTATGCTAGAATGGCTGGACCTGAAAGAGTAAGGGTGGAAACATTTAGAATGAAATTATATTTTTATTTTGTACTGATATTGGCCCCCAAATGTGATTTCTTTATTTGAATGAATTTCACTAGATTGTTTTTCTTAATGATTCTCTGTGCATTGCCAATGCTTTTTCCTTCTTTTGCAGAGTAACTGCCTTTGATATTAAGAAGAAAGTTTTTGACAATGAGTTACTGGAACTTGGACAAAAGAAGTTGTCTTCAGTACTGCAGACATTTTTTGGTGGACAATAGTGTTTTTCACGGTAAGATATATGTTATTGCTTTAGGTTTTTTGTTGTCTCTATTTACTTACTTCCATTTAAGTACATCTGAAATTACACCGCAGTGCCTCCTGAATCAACGGCTCCTATTTATTCTTATTTCTGTCTTATTAAGCCATATAAAAGCTGAATTTAGTTTTGAAAGTGGATTGCTTGCTTACTCATTGGCTGCATTTTGTGCAAATTGTAATGGCAACCAACAAAATGTATGCATTCTGTGGAAACCTTTAAGCTATTTATTCAGGTCCCAGTGTTGTCTTCTGTTTTAGTTGTGGTTGTATTTGCTGAAGTCTATCTTGTCAATTCCAAAATGAATTGGCTTGATATGCCCTTCTCACTTAGGGTCCAGGATAGAATGTACTAATTTCTATGATTTTACACTACAGCAAATTTTTATTGTCATTCTTGAGTAAAATAAAACAAAACAAAATGGGATCAAAGTGCATTTGAGAATACTTTTTTCAAGATAAAATAGATTTACAAATATGCCATTCTATCCATTTTATGTGCTGCTTATAGTTCTATATTATTACTGTTCAGTTTGCTATTTTAGAATACATCCATTATTTCACCTCTGGATTTTAAATAGTCATTTAATAATATAACATCTCTTTAGAAACCTGCTGGACATACATTTTTAAGTCAATAAAATATACAATTAACCTGTCTAAGTAATCTGTGAAAATCTATGGTTTGAGTCATACTTCAGGGCAGCCTACTCAAGATAGAAATGTTCCTGATTTCTTTTTATACCATTAATTGCAATATAATGATAGATTGATCTTGACAGTGGTGGGGAGGGGAGATTTCTTTTCCCATATTGTTTTAAAAAATCATGCACATCCCTTGGCCAACTGAGTAGGAAAACAAACAATAATCCTATTAAGCTAATGGGTCAACACTTTATTGTAATTAAATGAATATAAGTCAAAAGTGGAATTACATTTATATGAATATGCATCTCATTTATTGCACTTGTCATTTAAAACTATACTACATAACATATTATATGTACTATATGTCAGGTGCAAAGAATCAGAACCATATGTTAAGATTTATTGCTAATGCCTACATACAAGATTCTAATTAACTAACCATCAACATTAAATTGGCGCTAGATAAGAGTCAACAGAATTAACTTGAAGGAGCTGGACTTGAATTGGTTGTGGGAACATAATGACTCCAGCCTGATTCCTCTCTTGATTCTACTACATGATACCACATAACAATCTTGTACATTTTTTTAAATAGTCCTAAAATGAGCAGCTTGTATAATTGTGGTGTCCTATAAGAAGTACCTGAGTAAATTCCTGTACCATAAAGCAAGATACATTAATGAATCCTGCTGACTGTTTATGTAATAAGGTCAAATTTTAAACTGTTTCTGGCAAGAATCAAGGACTCGCAAGTCCATGCAAAAAATGAATTTATTGCTTGAACTTAATCTACTGAGTAACTCACTAGAGGGCAGCATATGGTTTGGAATGAACAATATCATTTACAAATGTTTCAGTTTATCATCTAGTCAGAAATCATATACAATTAGCATTCTCTGGTTTTAGGACACTATTGTTAAGAATTCCTTTATTTAAAACAAAGATATAATTTCAAAGAATGTGATATTTACTAAAGTTATGCAATTTATGCTTAGTATAACATTAATACAATATTTATAGCTAATGAAGTACATTGAATTATTTTATGCTATGAAAAAGAATATAAATCTTTAAGCTTAATGCCAAAATCTCCACCATACTATCATTTTTAATGCTTAAGAAAAGAAGAGTGAAAAGAAAAAAAATTAAGTAGAGGAAAAAATCCCTACTAAAATAGTATAAATATTTGGTTTCTGACTTCTTACTTCTATGTATTCCAACTGATTTACACTGTTTATAAGCATAAACTTTAAAAACCATATTCTAAATATTTGTATTTGCCATGATATATATAGTATATGTGGAAATCATTCTTGCTTAAATTTAAACATTTATATATATTTGTTTTCTGAGGTTTTCGCGGGTGTTTGTATGTAGGTTTTTGGTTATTCGGGTTTTCTCCCGCGTCAAATTGGAAGTGTCTTGGCGACGTTTCGATGATGTCTCATTCGTCATCTTCAGGCTGGTGTTTTTGGCTTAGTGCTTCTAGGAGCAATGTGTGATCGTAGCTGTTTCTTCCTTTTAACTGCCAGTGGGAGTATATATATATATATTAATTTCACTATTGTTAACATTTTGTCTTTTTTACAGTGCTGTATAAAATCTGTCCTCTCAGCTGTGACCATATATCTTAGTTTGTCATGGTGTAATTTATTCATATGATCTGGGATGATATCTAATGAAAAGAATTGTGGTTTCATTCAAATAGTTAAAATTCTCTGAATGATGCTATGTATGTCTTGGGGGGATTACTAGTAGTTAAAAGGTGAAGCATTGTCTTTGGGCCTTGGATTGAAATGCAAATTATTTTTTACAATTATTGTTTCAATTTGATTTTTATATTCCTATATCAGTTAAATTGAGCATGAGATACGTTGTTGGCTTGGACCAGTTCATGGGGGCCATTGGACTCAATGGCTATTAGTCTGGATGGCATTGTAACTGTCTCTGAAGGCCATCCACTGCAAGCCTAGGTGGCTTCCTTGTGCAGGCGGTGGGCTGTTGCTGTGAAAACACAGCCTAGATGAGAAAGGGATTTAATCCAGCAGGGCATTGCTTATGTTCTTAGGACTCTACAGTTCAACTTCTTGAAGGCCTTTAACGTTGACTCTAAATGAAGTTCTGGACTGGAAGTTACTTTGATGCTAGAAATACCTGTTTCTGTTGCAGTTTATTTTCAGTGGATTTCTGTTAGCTGTATAGTAAAACTAGAAATCAAAGTTCTGGCCAAAGGCTGTGGATTCATTCAGAAATACTGAAAAAAGCACAACCCTGAAGTGCTACAACTTGAAGTAACAAGAGAGAAGCTTCATTATCCCTGCTACCTTATTAGGAATAGAGGTGGTAGTGTTGTCAATGGAGAATAGATGCAATATGCTCTCATTCACTTGCGTCCTCCATTATTATAGTTCTGGTTTGAAAGAAAGCTGATTTAGAGAAGTCAGAAGAATTAAAGACAAGAGCACTACCAGAACTGTCAGACCTGGTACTTCAGATAAGAAGCACAAACCATGAATACTAATACCGTATATGCTGGCGTACAAGGCGACCCATCGTATAAGACGACCCCCGTCTTTGGCGCCGAGCTGCATTCCTAGAACGTCGTCTTATACGCCGGAAACTACCAGTATTTCCGGCATATAAGATGACTCGGTGTATAAGACGATCCCCGTCTTTGGCGCCGATTTTAGCACTTGCGGAAGTCGCCTTATACGCCAGCATATACGGTACTACCTTTATTGTAAAGTCACAATAAGACTGAAATAATTGATTTCCTCAACTTTTACTTTCCAGAAAAATTCCCAGGAAAAATTCTGAGATGCTTCCTATACTTCTTTTCCTTCTGTGGGCTTTTGCACAAAGGTTACCTGTGTTGCAGCTCTTTCTTTTATCTGCCAAAGTAATTCCCATAGACTTTAATGCTGTTCGTCGTTTCTCCCTCATAATCACTGCAGAACTTGACTTCATTCTGTTTTCCTGTGCAGGTGGTATGCTGATGGCTTTTGCAGAGATAATTGAAACTTACACTGACTGGTATTGCAGATCATGGTTTATGAATAAAGTATAATTCAATAGCCTCACACAATGTATTGAAATTTAATTCATGGATATAACTTGTTGTATGGTGTAAATCTATTCGATTATGATTTATTCATTTAAGCAAACTATGATTTAGTTTGTGTGTGAACCCCAGAGCATTTGTATATATTGACTTGGTTTGAATCTGTTTGTGTCTCATTTTGATGTATAGAAATGTCCTTGGCAAGCAGAGTATGTAGAATTTTATTCAAGTCAGTTAAATGTTACATCTTCATGTCTTCTATTGCTGACTTGATCCAATGATGTGACCTAGAGAAATTTGGATCAGTATCCCCCCCCCCCAGCAAGTGCTCTCCAGATGTTGGGAATGCAGCTGCCAGATAGATCTGTAGCCCAATACAGACGGAACTTATCAAATTGAAAAAAAAAGCTTTAAACATTATTTTTATATGGATGTAAGAACTTGTTTGCTTGTTGTTAACAATAATAGTACCTTACACAATTGTTGTGTTTTCTTTGGGGTAAAAAGGATAGATTTAATTTTTGCCTATCTGTTTTCTGTTTCATTTTGTTTTTGCAGCACAAACCTGATTTCATGTTAATTTCCTTATGAATATAAAAAGGAGTGAAAAACTAATATCCATAGCTGAAGCTAGTATTACAATTAAGCATGTATTAATTCAAATTCTTATCCTCTTGGAAGCATAATATTCACCGGGTTCATGGCAGAAGTAGAAAAGACTGCAGATATTAATGATTAGCATCTCATTTTCAATTGCAGGAGAGTAAAATGTGGAAAGTTTCCAAAGCAACTAGGTTGGATTAAGGGGATTTTTAAAAATTTTGAGTGGCCTGCAAGTTAGCTGAAAAATTGGAACTTTTGTATATTTTCAGAACATTGTTGCTGTTCTCTAATTCTCTAAGGTTGGTATGTTTGTATGTATATGTGGAGATAGAAATTCAGGGTAAGAAAATTAGAAGTTTTTTTTTCTCAGTAAGTTCTGGCTGAGGGGTTTTGCTAAAAAAAAAAATACCTTAACAATACAAATTTCATGCATCTGGTCCAAATAATCTAGGAGAATTGGAACTAGTAAGGCAAAACTGGCAGGATTGTTGCTTTAGTCATGTGAGAAATTATTTATTTCTGGTCAGTGCTGCTTGTTCAATTTGGGGCAAATTATATTTTCTCACCTCCTATGTCTCTGTGTTATTTTTTTTTCTATGTGCTCACACATTTGTGAATGCTAGTTTGGCTTGCAGATCTCAGCCTCATATAACCTGGAGCAG